ATTTGTTTGTTGTTATTATTATTATTATATTTATTATGACTGTTATTTTGCTTTCACATACTCACCTCATAACCTTTCAATTTGTACATTTGTTCATTGCGCACCAAATATATTAGAGCCAAAGGTAAGAAGGCAATAGCGGTAAAGACCAGAATGTAACGCCTTATGGCGCGCCAGTATGTCTTGTTTAGACGCATTTACATTCATTAATACATACAAACGTTTTACAATATTGTAGCAGATTTTGTGTGCGATCTCATTGACAACAACAATAATTCATAAAGAAATGTAATACGAAAGATGAGGAAATAATAAGAAAAAATAAAAATAAAAACAAAAAGAAGAACGTATTTATAGCCCCGACAACGATGACATGATGAATAACGCACAGCAAGAAGAGTAAACGAATTATTTTTTTTCTTCTTTTTTTTAAAATTTTTTTTTTTTTTTTTTTTTTTTTTTTTAGAGGGGAGATTTTAAAGGTAATTTGCTAAATAAAATAAAAATAACAAATTATTTGTCATTTCGCTTGTAAAGCACCAGTTTATGCGGATTCCAACTTTTTTTTTTCTTTTGTTATTTTTGTTTCTTCTTCTTCTTCTTCTTCTTAATAATAATAAGCACGAACACACACACACATGTACACATATATACAAACATTGAAACACAACGACACTTATCATAGGCTTTCGAATATACACGAATGTATGTTAATACAACATTAAAAAGCGTTTAAAAATTTATAAATAAAATAAAAAAGAAATAAATTAACGCATTAATATATCAAATTAAAAATAAGTGAGGAGTGAGCTTCTTTGACTCCCTTCTTCTCGATGTGCTTTGTAAGGCCATTGAATGCGCATAGCGACGTATGAGTTACATTTAAATGTTTAAAAAAATCAAAAAGAAAACATTACACTAACCCCCCCCTTCACGCCCTTTAGATGTCAAAAAGAAATTAAAGGAAATATCTTTAAAATTCGGCAAATTTCAGTCTCAACGGCTCTACTCTTCCCATAACTTCTACAAAATGCACTACCGACCCGCCCCATTTCCCTCTAAGATGCACCATAAACTTTCCTTCTTTAAGAAATTTGAATATATTTTTCTTGGTTACTGCACATCGACGCCTTACTAAAGCAGATATCAAATCACTGCTCGCAATGATCATGATCATGTCGTGGCTCGTGAAATTGTAATAAAATGAAATTTAGACAATTTGCAAACGTCTTTGAAGTGTATCAAAGACGACGAGAAGATGAAATTGGAAAATAGGTAACAAGACCTTAACCTTAAAAGTTAACACTGTCTACTTACTCTTTAATAAGATAGATTTATTCTGCTGTTTATTAATTTCAGATTTAAGAAATGAAAAAATTAAAAAAAAAAACCACCGATTTTATGAATGAGAAAAAGAGACCACACCGTTGCTAATCTCGTGAGCGATAATCAAAATCAATGCAGAAAACATGCACAATGCGTTGTATATGACGGTTTGGAAACCAATCTGGTCGAAAATTGATTTGAAAAATTTTGATCATCAGGACCGGATACGTTACCCTAAATCGACTAGTCTTTGCCAATCAATCAATCAATTAATCAAATAGAGGCACGATTCCCTTCGCCATTAGATTCGAAATTTCTATTTTATTAACTTGTGGTTCGATTAATTTAAAGGCGACTTCATCTTCGCAATAGCTAATAAATTCAACTTTATTTGCAATGAACTCTCTAAAGCAAGCAATATATAGTTCTTAAGTTTGAATTGAATGCTATGTAACACGATGTCCAGAACGTGATGCGACGTCTGTTAAAGGATTAAATCGACACTGGGAAATGCTAGATTCTCTTACGGGGGTTTTTGTTCTGAGACGAAAAAGTTCCCACATTTATATGCGATTATTATTTAAAAATATTCTGAATGCGGAAACGGAAATATGGACTTGTATATGTGCTTTAACTTTTTTTTCTGTTTATTGTTTTTTTTTTTTTTTTTTTTTGTTGTGGAGCTGGATATTGTTTTGTAAACAAACTCAAACGAGAAAGCGTGTGTATCTGTATGTATGTATGTATATATATATATATATATATATGTGTGTGTGTGTGTGTGCAGGAGCATGCACAGCATTGGTTTATAAACGAAACGAAGTTGTTCCCAAAAAAAAAAGGGAAAAGAAAAAAAAATTTAATAAATAAATAAAAAGTAGAGAGAAAGGAAAAAAAAATTGCAACCCCCCGGTGGCCCCGGCGGAGTACACGACAATTGAACGTAATGTAAAAAAACGACAAACAAAAATCATTTTAACGGTAACAGAACATTGTGTAAGAGAGAATTTTATCGATTTTCTAAGAAAAAAAAAAAAATATATATATATATATAAGGAAAAAAATTGTTTTTTTTTTGAACAGCACAGAAAAAACATGAACGTTATTTAAAAAAGATATATATAATTTTTTTTTTTTTTTTGATTTTTTAAAAATTATTCAAAATGTTTTAATTAAATCAAACAACTTTCCGTAAATTCTTTAAGTAATTTATGTAATTACTCTTAATATCTTTAAATAATCTTTAACAGAAATTTAAAACATATAAGAAATGTTTACACAATAATCTTTTTTAACGCTATTAAAAAAAAAAGAAAAAAAAAGTTCATTCTTAAATTTCGTAATAACATCTTTCACCTTTGTTTATTGTTATTATTATTATTGTTATTATTATTATTTTATTTCACTTATTTAATTAAAAATAATTCTTTTCCATTTGTATTTTCATCATGTGCTCCGACTATATACAACTAATAAACTGTGTTCGCGTTTTCGCGTTGAAATGAAAACTGAGCTGAAGAGACTGTAGGAGCACGAACACGACCATGTTAGTTTCATTAGCTACAGAGCATCGGTATATACATTTTGCCAAAATGTTTGCAACACTCAACATAGAAGCTTCGTAGACGCCATAAGGTATGCTTTAGATATTCTTGTGATCGGCACGCATTTAAAAGAATGTAATAAATGCTTATAATTTTCATGTCACAATCTATCCGGGATACTCTGTACTTTGAAGAATGGCTATTTTCCAGATATTTGCATTTAAAAAAAAAAATTCATTTTTTTATGTATTATTATCAACAATTAAAAATAAATATAGACATTGTCGTTACATTCTTGCAAATTCATTTCTATATAATCAAAAATAAAAAACAACAACAATGTAATAAGGGCGTATTTACAGTAACTTAATTTTAAAAAAGTTTGCGTTTATAAAGCATTGGACTAAATTAAGAACTATCGGAGAGATGTGCTGTGCAACAATAAGCTCGTGGAAAATCCACAGCTACCATACCTATTTTAAATACTTTTTATAGCTTTAGTGGATTTAGTGTATGCAAATAGGGAGAGTATGCTCTTAGATCTTTTTTCCAAATGGGAATCTATGCAAAATGATGGGCAATTTATTCTTTTAAATATTCTAAATATTTGTTATATGTATGTATGCTTGTGTGCGGTTTGTTTGGTTATTTAAAATTCCTTTGAATTCGCTTTGCTGATAGCTTTGAATGCCCTATTTGACTTTTCCAAGAGTAAAAAGGCGCGCACGCATATGCAAAAGAGAAAGAAATGAAACTAAGTGAAATTTTCTTTTTAGGGTTATAAGGTTATTTTCTCAAACGAAAAATCTCCCTTTTAGGGAAACAGACAATCTCTAGAGTTGCCATTACAAGAAAAACGAGAAATTTAGTTGAATTATTTAAAACTATTAAAAAAATTGAATTTAAACATCTTGTTGAAGCGCACATAAGATTACGTAATGTGCCGGCCAATAATGGTTACAAAGTACATAGGACCACAAGTCTCACACACATATATAGCATATTTAAATTTAACTGCACTAAAAATTTCCTCTTCTACCTTAATACGATTTATCGACTACCTACTTGTAATTAGATCTGTCAGAGGAAAACAAATGAGATGAATTTAAGCTTGTTTAGAAGCAGGAACAATAATTTAACAATTACGAGTATGTTATATATTGTATTTCCTCGACTTGAATAGACCGGCTCTTGCTATGGTGCGCTATTCAAATTATGTATTAACAGTTTGCGTCTCTTTACTATCACTTTTGCCAACGTGTGGAATTACAAATTCTAGAGAAATACATCATAGTTCCAAAACTGAATTCCATACGCGAGTTCAAAGTGTGTAAGAAGTCTTCTATCATTGCTTTAGCAGGAAATATTAGATTAGATCTATGTATACTATAAAAAATGGGAGCATCGATGCAGATGAGAATTTTTCAATCTCTTACTATTGGCAACTTTAGTGCTACTTTAGCAATTCAACTAAAAGTATGCTTTAAAATTGATATCACAATCTGGACTCAAAGCTCTTTATTAAAATTGTTGCGATGCATTAAGTTAGCAAAGCAGATATGTGTTTACTTTCTTTTTTGCACATTTTGGGCACTAAACCACAAAATTTTAATTTGTCAAATATAGCCTCAATTTGATGGCACGTGATTGGGCGAGCTTAGCTAAATGTTGCCAATATACTGTACTTTTATAAAAGAATTCAAACAGAAGTTTGTAAAAAAAAAAATTTTAAAAAAGTTTATTAAAAAATTATGCAAAATATTTTGCAATTATATCGCTTTCTCTTAAATTTATAGTAAAATGTGCGTTTACTTTTTATAATTGATTGATTAATATTCAATTAGGGAATGTACTTTGGTTTGCGGTAATTTTTTTCTACCCTCTAAAAATTTCATTTCCATGATGACTAGACAACCCACTACATCTCCACCAGCTTTGCGGACTAATTTGTAAGCGGCTTCTAAAGATCCACCCGTAGCTAATAAGTCATCGATAATTAACACCTTTTGGCCTGGCTTAACGGCAGATTTTTGCATTTCAAAAATATCCTAAATATTATATAATAAGCAATTCATCTATCTTTAGGAATCAGTAATTTTACTCTTACTGACCACGCCATATTCGAGGGAATATTCCATTGAAAGACATTCACCCGGTAATTTGCCTTTTTTCCGTATAGCAGCACAACCTATACCCAGCTCTGAGGCCAGCATTAAATTAAAGAGGAAGCCACGTGATTCTAATCCAACTATCAACTCAACATTTGGATACTTCTCGCGTATATTGTGTAAAAGTAAAGCTTTAAGGTATTGACAACACTGTTCATTCGTTAAAGCACCAAAAATGTCTCTAAAATGTGCAATTAAGAACATTACGAAAAAAGTGAGCAAACAACAAAATGCAAATTGTTGAAAAAAAAAAAAGAAATAAATAATAATTACTTACCGAAATAAAATGCCTTTCTTAGGAAAGTCGGGATATGCGCCGATGTGTTGTTTAATAAATTTTAATTTTTCTTCGTTATTCATAACTAAATGTTCTTGTCGCTCTGAAAAAATGGAATGTTAACACAAAACTATCAAAATCATATTCATGTTCAAGTCAATAAATCATTCTTACAGTTAAGTGTAACACGTATGCATTAAGCATTTATTTGTACTTTACTGATAATCCCCAATCGATTCAATAGAGATAAAAAAAAAACTCTTACGGTAAATTTGAACAAAATATTGTTATATGTTAATAGGCGTTTGGCCGCAACTACAGGCGCTTATAATATAATGTTATTGTTTTTATTATAATGTTCACGTGTTTCATAATCCGTGAAGTTGGGAATTAGCAATAAATGTATTAATTCCATTTCGTTCACCAAGAAATGAAAGAGTTATTATAGTAAAATTCTGGACATGTGTTTGTATTGAGATCTTTTGGTAGTAGTATTTTGTTCCCATTCAGTAATAATACAATTCCACGTAAAATTGAATAAGCGATGCCAAGCTTTGTTTTTACAGCTAGTGATGCCAATAGTAAGCAAACGACATGGGGTTATTTCATTATTATTCATTGCAAGGGCGAACCGCAATATGATATTTTAACTTTTCATAAGACTCTGTGGGAATGGACATGTGTATAAGCAAATAAGACAAAAGTAATAAAAAAAACATAAATGAAGAAATAAAGACAATTTATTGTAAATTTAGAAGTTATTTATGTAATTTATGCTTATTTTATACTAATTTTTCAATATTATACGACTTAAAATTTTTGTTTATAATCTTTATTATTTTATAAGAACTAGAAATGAATACTAAAGCTCTTTTAGTTTCAATTTGAAATATCTTCAACAAATCGAACCGTTTAAGCAATCTCTTTGCTTTGTTTCACTGCTTCAGTGAGGTCCACTTCCATCTTCAACTTTTCTTCATCTTTTATTTCAATAAGCGGATCGAAAAATGAATTTGCTTTTGCATTCATTTTTTTGAATCGTTGCTTTTCATGTATTTGTTGCTCATATTTATATTGCTTTCTTTACTATTGTTTTAAAAACTATATGTTTTTGTTTACATTTTCTTAAAAATTGAGTTTTTAATCCGAAAATAGGAATAACGCGTTATTTTTTTATTTATATACTTTCTCTTTTTCAATTTTATATCAAGATGAAAACATAATTGTAGGCAAGAAATATAAATTTTATAATTAAATGAATTAATATTTCGAAATAATTTCCGGGGTAATCGCAGTTACATTAGAAAATAATATGTAACCCCAGGAGCACCAGGGCATATTGATAAATTGTCAAAATTGGCTAACTAGTCTTTCTTTAACAATCTCATTCATTTCCTCTAGATGTTTTGAAAAATACGCGAACTAAACTTATTTAATTTTACAAGTTATCAACTCAATGTGGTGGGCTCAAATCTCAAGTGCGGTAGAGTTTTTTTTTTTTTGCTAGCGCTTTAAGAGAAAAAAATTTATTCTCTGGCTAAATTTATAATAATAGCAATAATAATAATAATTTTACAAGTTAGCTTAGAATTAAACCGTGATAATTTTTAAACAAAGTCCTCGCTAAATTCCCTGTTGAAAGGCAAAGCACAGAGTCGCTTATAATAAATAAATGGTTAAAAGCCCAACTTAACAACTTAAATGGCAACGCCAAGCAGCTATGTTAAATGCCAAACATTACCGACAAAAGGGGTTCAATTCTGTTAGATAACAGACCAAATACCCAACTTTACCGACAAAAGGGATTCAATTCTCTGAAATGACAGACCAAAAAAGCACAAAGCCGTCGGCAAAACAGATTTTTAAATGCAAAGAAGAAAAAAACCCGAATAATTGAATTCTAAAGTGATTAAAACGTTTATATAATTTATACATTGAAGAAAGTAAATAAATATATTATATATAATATATTATAAATTAATAAAATAAATATAATATATATAAATAATAAATTAATTGATATCCACCATAATTAATTTAGAATTCACATAACCAGCTTTTCGCATTCTACTCGCCAAACCTTTTCTTTATTTTTTTTATTTCAATTGTATTTTAACATAGGTGTCCCTTCATTTAAGACAGCTGAATGGCGTTACCATTTAACCATTTAACAGAGCTGCCATTTTTTGACTATTTGTCTCATTTATTATGAGCAACTCTGTGCTTTGCCTTTTAACAGGGAATTTAGCGAGGGCTTTGTTTAATTTGATAATAGAAATTATGGCGGTCTATTTAGGCTAACTTGTAATATTAAATATGTTTAGTTCGTTGACTCAGTGCACATGCACAGTAGATTCCCCGCTTTAAACCATGCCTCTTTCAATTCTCATAAATCCTTTTCCTTCTGGGCTTCAAATGTGTTATACCAATTTTACCCAAAATGCAAGATCTTTACAAATGTAAAAATAATATAACCATTGATAAGCCTATCTTTCGAGATGAGGAGTGTTACCACATGGAAAATTGTGCAAAACTATTTATTTTCCTTTTTTACATATCCCAGCGAATCTTCGGGTCTTGTTTTGCTGAATAAAAAAGAAGAAGAAGGGGAATTATTTATTTTGTATAAATAAAACAGCCGGGGAGATGTGATGAAAATTTTTCAAAAAAGTTTCTGAAGGAAAACTTTGAAAATCATAAAATCAACTTCAGTACATAATTCAAATAAGAAAAAATTTAACAAATACTTCACAACTATTAAGCATAAAATTAAAATAAAACAATTCATAGCTTCGAAATTTATGAAAATGAATTAAGCAACTATTGAGCTTAATAAAATCGAAAAAAAGTTAACGCAAAGAAAGAACATGTAATAAAAACTCATCACAATGTTGGAGAAGAGAAAACAAAGATTACAGTCAAAGAGTTTTTATTCCTCAATGGACAATGTAGTTGTAGGCCAATCGTTGATAATTTCACAAAAGTAAATGTAAAATATAAAGGAACAACTATTACTTCTAATTTATTCTTTTCTCGGAAAGATTCCCCTGCAACGAGATGTGCTAATTCATTTGCTGATGTTTGGCAGGATCTACGTCGTGTTTATTTCTTCGACACTCTTTAGTCGAACAGCATTCTCCAAAACACTTGAATAATTTCGATCATCATTGCCGGTTTTTGCAGTAAAGGAGTCTTCTCGCTCTCCGAACACCTACTTCCGGTAGACCTGCTTATTATTTCCAGGCATTTTAATGGGCGCTACGCAAATAATGTCCACGACGGAGACATCTGAAAACCAATTGGAATCCAAAAGAAAAAAATTTCGAAATAAAATATATTTTTAGTGAACGTTGTAAAGTAAATCCGTGATTTGGTGGCACACGGTTTTATATGGCAGCGGACGAGCCACTTGTTACACCGTTAAAATACAGCGATGCTACTTTTAATAGACTCTAATCGTATTTAAATTAATTGGCAGGAATGGAAAAGGACTAATAAATTGTTAGTGGGAGCATGCATTAATAATATTAGTTCAGTAGGAACGATGCGGAGAGAACTAGGTGCGTGGAATTTAAAAAAGAATGATGTAAAAATATCAATAATTGCTACGACAAAAAATATTCTTCGGCCAAAAAATTTTAAACTGAGTACAGCAAACTGATTTTCTATCCCAAGACTCACGGATAAATTCAACTCTGCAAAGCTATTACTAGTCATGCTTACCGCAATACGATGAATCCGAAGAACGGATTTGAATTGATGAAATTTCAACTTTGAAATGAACAGAAATGAATGGAGCAACTGTCTCCAATGCCAAGAGGAATACTACTATACTAGGGGAATAAATTAGAATATGTGGAGGCAGAAAAATTAGGTCCCTTGGCACAAACCGCTGCTAAATTAAAGGGTTATATACTTGATGCCTCAGAAGAGAGATAAATGCATACTCCAATGAAGTGTTAATTAATCCAAAAGTATCGGCAATCATTGAAGCGAGTAAAGGGCTATTTGCTATAAGGCTGTCATCTTTTATTAAAAACATATTATGAATAAATAATAATTCAATGTGCCGATTGAGTTGCATGCGTCTTTTCATTTACGCTCCATTACACATACATACTTTCTTGTTTCTATTTTGACATCTCAACAATGATTCGTTGAAGGACACAAGAGTTTAGTGAAATCGTTATTAGGATCTGAAGTTACTCATCGGAATATTTACATAAATATTAAAGATGATAAAGGAATATTCGTCGCGGTCCGACACAAGTAAAAAAATTAAGGATTTACTCTACCACTAATTAATTTCAAATCCGACTCATTACTTTCGATGATAAGGATTACGTGACCGTTCTTTGTTCTAATTAAAATTAATTTTATTTTCATATGTACGTATGTATGTGTCTATCAGCCATATATTTATTGCTATCAAGGTTCAGATATTTAGTAAAATTTACGAACAAGGGAAGTAAGTTGAATTTGGCGCCGAAAATGCTTCATTATTTCTCGCCTTAATTCTTAGTAGAAACTAAGAATAATTTCTCTTTGCCAACCAATAGAAAATTTCTATATATACTTTTTAACTGAGGGCAGACATAAAACTTTTATGAAGCAGCCATGTCAACTATCGCTTGTACTCATATATAAGAGTACGTATTTACACATCCACAACGTTTGCACACATGTGTGCGCAGCGTTGACTCTAAGCATGCATTTGTACAGAAGACAAAACGATATAACTACAGTAGAAAAACAAATATTTTTTTTCTCGCTCTCTTCTAAAACTCATTGTGTGCAAGTAGGGTTGCCAGTTAACAAAGTTGTTGGAAATCACTAAAAAATCTCTATATATATAGTATAAAGTGCAATACAACTTTAATTTGACCCATGTTCGGCCAAGACCAAAATACATACTGTGTTCCATTTCTATTAAAAATATAATTAAACTTTGCTGAAACATTTCATTTGGATAATTTTGATAATTAATTGTGACAGTAAAATTTTATCTGGAGGAACACAAAAAAGCTTTATTGTTGTTATCATTTTGTTACGCAAATGATTGAGTCCACGTCAAAATGCCGCCATAAATCTTGACATTAGTAGCTTATTGTTAACGCAAATGCTAAACTGGAGGCGTCCCGCACAATTCATATAAACTTGACTTTAGGAATGCATGCATTTAAACAGACAGGGCTAAGAGACATAAAATGTGGAAGAACGCATTTTTTTACTTCTTTATCTTATAAACACTGAGTCACGCTAAACTTCTGTTTAGCGTGGTAACTCTATTGTGTAGTAATGAATAATAAAAAACAAAGAAACAAATTGAGTACGGAGAAATCGTGACTATGTAGAAAATGAAATATTGTGTGCATGTGTGTATATAAAAATATTTAAATGTACATGTGTGTGTTATCTCACTGTAGCTATATAGATGTTTAATACTGTTGCTGGTCATGCCTAGGTTCTCGTTTATTCGATATTTTCTCGCTTTACGACGTCGCTCGCTTGTTAATAATAACAACAAACTAATACATGCTTATATGTATGCATATTTTGTTGTTATTGTCAGGTGATGGTATTAATGTTTGCCTATTGTTATTGTTATTTAGTTTCTCTGTTTAGTGTGGGGCAAAGTACATGTTAGTTAGTTTGGAATAAATGCTGAATTGTTATGATGCGTCTGGGTGCTATATGATGATGATGGTGACGTTTGCGTTTGTATTTTATTTGTTCTGTAGATTTGCTTATTTATTGCGTAACACTCAAACGCATACCCAAGCAAATGATATATTATTTAATATTTATTGTTAGTTCTCAAGTGCTGTTCTCGATATTATTATTATTATTATTAGCATTGTTAAGACTTTAAGATAATATTTTCCATTTAAATTGTACTGCATACCAGCATATATGTTAAACTAGCTTTTTCAACTTTGGATTATTACACGACCCTTGAGGTTCTCTCTGCCAGAATTCTTATAAGATTTCACTTCTTAAGAGTTCATGAAACTTTTACTATATACGCGCAAAAGTTTTTGTTTATTGGCGAGTATTGTGAATTAATTGGAAAAAAGAAACCCTCTTTTTTTCTTTTCTTTACTGTCTCTATACAGAAACGATTATATCTCGTGGTGGTAGTGGCAGTTGTTGTTGTCTCATAGTTTTAAATACATATAGACAAAATAAAGAGGATAGAGATAATTCTGTCGCGCGTTCCGTTTTCGTGAGGGAAAAGATAGAAGAGTTTTAAAATTTTGTGTAATGTAGAGCGTATGTTGGAGATTGAGATGCAATTTGAAATGCGAACAATGTGAGACCAAAACTTAACTACATTTAACCGACAAACTGATTGATAAATATGAGCTTGGATGAAATTATTCAAACAGTATAATTTGGTTTTCGATGCGGACGACAATTAGTCCTTAAACCTTTTACCGGCAATTTTTTCGTTTCTGGATAATGCTTTTGCGTCGCTAATACGTGCATATGTGACGAGAAATAAAATAAAAGTAAAACAAAAAAAATGCACGAAGAATTACAATTTTTTTTTAGTTAAGGGGAGCGCACAGAAAATGAATGATACCTAGATATATAAGCCTAATTAGATGAATTCCTTGTTGTTAAGAGTTATTAAATTTCAAGATATTACGTACAGTCGATCTGAATACAGTTAACTTTTAGATTAAGCAAAGCGTACAAGCAATGACAGAACGTATAGTAGCTTGTTTCTAGCAGTGTTTAATGCAGATTTTTAACACGTGCCCGACACTCATTAATTTTAGTTTCATTTGCAATTACTTGCGGTCCAAATGGCTACAAAATGACTGCTATGTTTCTTAAGGTCTTTCCGAAACCGTTTGAAAGAAAACCTTATACCATGAATAATGGAAATATGCAAGGGATCACACATTTAATACACAGAATTTCTATGCAAGCAGCCATGAAAGATACCGTGCTGCCTCAAGTTGTTTCTCTACGTAAAACTCACGTTAACCTGGGTGAATAGAAAAGACCAATGGATTGCATTTGGTGTGCTAGCCTAATCAAAACAAGAAAAAATAATAATAATAGTTGAGTATACAAACCCGTTTCATCTAATTCATCATTCTCGGTGTCTACTGTATTTTGGTCTTTTTTTGAAAATTGTTTACAAATACATTTGAGTTTGCTGAGGCTTTCAAGCGAATTTAATTGAAAATTCATTTTTCATATAATGCGTGTTGAAAATGCTACGTTAGAATACTTAAAACACCAGTCATGTGAAAGGACTTTACAAAGTTATTTTAAAGACCTTATGATTTTAACGAGCAGAGCCTGACTGAATGGTTTGAAAAATATTTTTATTTAATGTCTTTTGGAATATTTGCATAAAAATTTAATAAAAATTTCTTGTAAAAATATTGTATTTAAACTTTTGACTTTTGTTAAAAAGCCGAAACTTACTTTATCGTAAACAGGTAGGTTCAACGACCCACTAGACGAGCCTCTTTTAACATATGTATGTATACGCATATATTCATATATACATATATATCTACCTGTCTGTCTATCTCTTCCTGGTTTTCTCTTTTATACTCGTATCTTAATCAGAAGCATGTTAGTAAAATATTTATGACAAATGCTATTTTCTACAAAAGGAAATAACTTTTTTTTTGCCCCACGCGTAACAAGCAAGTTCAGTTTGTATGTTTAGTATGCTTCAACGCAGTAGAAAACAAAAAAGTTTACAACAATAAAGGTAAACAAAAGATTTCCCTCTCAATGTGCTCCAAATTTGCACACATCGAAGGCTCAATTAAAACAAAATATGCATTTAATCGTAGATTTCTAAAATATGTAAAACCTCAACACGCTCTTCTTCTCAAAAAAGAAATCGAGAGAACGTGCAAAACAATGCACACACATAAGCGATTTTAATAAAATCTAAAATATCAATAAATATGAAATAAAACTCTCTTAAAATTTCATGCTGGCAATTCTAAAATGCAGCAGAAGCAAAAACACACGAGACAATAAAATTCAAATATGATTTGACTGTACCTCTTCAAGAGCAAATGACGGCCATCTTGCTCCCATTACACACAGGCATAGTCACATATTCAAACGAAATATGTGTACTCTGAAAATGTTGGCGTGTGCGTGCGTATATGTGAGTGCTAAAATAACCACAATACATTAATAGCAGCAATATCATTATGTATGTCGTGTTTCAACGAGCGAGCAACTAAGCAATATGGAGACAACCGAACGCTTTGCCAGCATGGGAATGAAGTAAAAAAAGACAAGGGAAAATATGTATTCAGTGACTATTCGTTGAATTGGTAGTGAACTCAATTTTTAGTAGAAAATTTTCAACGTTGGCGAGAAGTTGTGAGTAAGGCGAACGCACTATACTCTTGTGAGATTTTACGGATCTGACAGCTTTTTAACTACAGTTGTGTGGAGTGTGATGTGTACTCATGAGAATAAAGTATATTTAGGAAGGAAAGAAAACACAAAATCTGCAAACAAAAAAAAAGAAAAAAAAATTAGAAAACTATCACATTACTGATAATAATAATAGTAAGAAAAAAAAAACAAAAAAAGCGGGAAACTTTTGAATTAATTCCCTTTATCTTTAAAAATAAGAGCAGTTAATTAATAAATTAAAGATAAATAAAAAATCAATTTCATTCCCACATTTATTAACTGACTATTAAGCTGGAGTAAAGTGGTTTTCCCTATGAAAAATATGTATATATGTGTATATCTCGTACATAATTTTTGTATAACGTGGCGCACCAAAAAATTTTGTTTAATGCGTTAATTGTCATTTTACCAAAAATATATTTAAAAAGTCTTATTATTGTCATTATATTTTTAAAGAGAAATTTTCAGTCACAGAATTTGATGCTATTTCATATTAAATTATGGAATTTCTATTTTTTCCCTTACCTCCACAAGAAAAAAAATCCATCGATACAGCTCACCGAGAGCTCGTTCTCCTCGTGTGTGTAATAACAGCACGTCATCTCTTTTTAGCATGTCAGAGTATGTATTGGACGAGAAGTACTGCGCAATACATGTTACAAAATTAGAAAAATCTCCCCTTTCTCTTTCCTCTCCCATAATTCAATATGCTTATGCTCATCTCTCTCCCTCTCTTATAAACTTCTTACATTTGAAAACTCAAAAGTAAATCGCAATGCCGCTCGTGAGTAAATGAGCAAGAGAGAGAAAGCAAGAGTATATAAAAAATTATAATTTAAAAATTTTTTTTTATATAGAGTTGTATTTACAATAAGCGCTGCGGAGTATTAAGCTGTAATAAAAGATTTTTGTGACTTGAACTGAAAAAAAATATATATATATATTTACATAAAAGTGCTACACGTTTGTGCGCACTTTTTAGAATTTTAAATATTATTAGATATATCAAATAATAAAAAAAAAAAATTTAAGAAAAAGAGACAACGGAAAAGTGAGATTTCTTGTTATAGACAATTAATTGCTTGCCATTAAAGGTTAGCGTTGTAATCCTATATTGTGTTTTCGACGAGTTCAATTGAAATTCTTTCACCATTACCCACATATACCACCAACTTCAGCAACAGCAGCACATTGACGACGTGTGCGCCGTTGGTGAATCGGTGGACTCCATGATGGCTCTGCCCATGAATTCCCTATATTCCCTGACCTGGGGTGATTATGGCACCTCGCTGGTCTCGGCTATACAATTGTTACGCTGCCATGGCGATTTAGTCGATTGCACTTTGGCAGCTGGCGGTCGTAGCTTCCCCGCTCATAAAATTGTATTATGCGCCGCTTCACCATTTTTATTGGATTTATTAAAGGTAAGTGATACTAGAAAAGTATATATAAATCCGATGAACCTAAAGTTTACTTGAACTTAAACAACGCGAATCTCTTCTATATTTTGTTTGTAAACAGAGATAATTGACTGCTTTAGAAGAGAGGGGGAGAGTGCATAATCAATATATTCTTATGACTGTCAAAATATTCCGGTTATCGTTCTCTAACTCTCACTTGGTTGTAATCCACCTAAAAAACTCAATTCAAACAATCTTTTTCTTTTCATTGCCTTGAAAGTAGTGAGCGTGCATTATATGAGGTTCTTAATATTATTTACCATAGAAATATGCCAACTGTTATCTCTTTAATCGGCACGAATGAGATTCCAAGTCTTGCACTTTACACTTTTTTATGCCCTCTTTAAAAATAGTATTTTTGAGATTTGTTTGAAAAGCAAGCGTATGAACAAATATTTTAAAGAAATAATTCCGCACGCACATAGAGAGCGAGAACAGAGGTCCTTAAACTACTTTACGAAATCATATCTAATTGTGAAGAAAAAAGAAAATTTAATTTTAGTCAGTCGACGATTGACGATTGACAATTCCTTATTACAATATGAGCTCGCTTCATTTTTTCATTTTTGTGCTTGCGTATGTTTCGATTTTTGCTTATACTAAATATTTCCTGACTAAGTTGTTTCAAATTGATGTACATACAATCCTCAAAAGACTTGTAGTATGTCGTAAAAGAACAATTTTTTTTTTTTGTTTGTTTATTATACGAAAACATTTTTGTGCTCGAGCACAGTATGACGTTTAAATAGTTCGTTAGACGTTTACGAAAGAAATTCGATGTAGTAACTGATTTTTTAATAGAATCGGTTATTGATGTGTATTTACTGGGTGTCGACCGTGAATCCAGTTTTTGGCTAGCACCAACAGTATTCAGAGCTTGTTCTTTTTATTGTTGACTGCGATAATTTTTGAACGAAATCACTGTACCACCGCTGCTTTATAATACATTTTACGAAAATATATTTCTAGAGTTAATTTTTTTTTCTAAATAAATTACATATTCAATGAGTGGAATGGTTTTCCGGCTAAGCCGAAATTCGTTCAAAGGCGATCAGCGTAATTTAACTGAAACCCCTTGTTGTAGTATTTAGCCCGACAACCTCAAGTGGTGGATTCCTTTGAAGATTTAATATATTAAAAAAAAATATATAAATTATATTAGCTTACGGTTAAAAACAAGCTATCTTGATATTAAGTAAGTAAATTTGAATATGCTGATCGGTAAACTTTCAATTTTTATTTACAGTACTTTTCATCTAAATACTTCAGTTTATTTCCTGTTAATTGTTTATATACAATGATATTAGAGAAATTTTTTTTATATTCAGCAGAGAATCATGCGTTGGTTGTTTGCGATGCATCGAAGGCGCTACAATTTATATATGTGTATATATTCTTGATCAATGTGAATGTGGGAGTCAATTTAGACGTTTATACCTATTAGTTTGCCTGATGATTTTGACCTTAAACTTTTATTGTCATATAAAAAGATTAAGTGGAAATCTATTTGACTTTTACATTTTATATTCTCCCGTCTCAGGTTTGTAAATTAACCAAATAGAGTGTGGAAATATGATTGACACTTTTTATATAAATTCTATGGGATGCGATCGTTTATGTGTCGGTAGACACATTTTACCCGCAGTTTGGTTTCAAACAATGCCTATTAATGATGTTAGGAGGTTGTTGCACGTCTCAGCCATTAAGTAGGATATATTAATTTATGAATAATGCTCACTATATAGTTTATCTGTATATTGTAGGCTTTTCTAATTTCCATAAAAGCTTTGATGGAGACGAGCAGAAAACTTTTAGTTGAAAATAATTTTTGTTTCATTGGTGCTTTAACTTTCTGCAATTGTTATACATTTAATGTTAATGACAACATTTTACATAAAAAATAAAGAAATTATGCCATAGCAATATGTTATTGTTGTTTATGTTCGATTTGGTACTTATGTATTAATGCCACCGCGGCAAAAATATTATTAAAATAAAAATTATTAAAATGTTATATTTGGAAGCCAAAAAAATTTTTTTTTAAATTTTAAAAGATTGCTTTTATTGGTTTTTAAAAGGAATTGTTGCCGCGGTGACGTTAATACGTAAATACGTTCGATTTTAGGTGGAAATAATGAAGTGTTTAAATAATCTAAATTAGGTGAAATTTTGAATAAGTAATCAATTCATAATATAGATAGACTTTTGAGATAATTGAGCAGAAATGTGGTTAAACTGGCCTGCTCGGTTACCTAAAAACTACTGTACGTATATAGAATGATTTAATAATTCCTTTTCTAATATTCATTATTATAATTCTTATTTTGTAATGTATTGCATTTTTCCCCTAATGAGTAAAAGAGAAGAGAGCTAAACACGAGCAGCGAGTGGGATCTCCTTTGTTTGTTATACGTTTTATAACAAATTTCATGTGCCAGAGTGAGAACGTGACAAGAGCATGATTTCTTTGTAATAATATATACATGTGTATATGCATCAGCGAGTCCCTGATAAACTTGTTTCGCTTAGACACGTCTTTAACGTCCGGTTAGCTTGTGTGATGGCGTTAGTTGTGTGCGAGATAGCTTTTTTCATTTTATAAGTCTCTACAGCTATACTTTCCTCTCTCTTTTACTAGACCTTCTCTGTATATGCAAAACACTTAACTCTTATGTGTGGGTTTAATATAGGCATTGATTTTTTTATTTTATTTATTTATTTTCCTTTTTTTGCTAGAGCAAGTATATTGAAACCGAAACCAGCACTCGCTTGGCTGTGTGATAAAGCTCATGCTCAGTATTGATGTCTACGTAGACAGATTACTTGGAATTTTTCATATTCGTAATTATTTTTTTTTTTCTTTACGATTCCCATCACACATATACAATTTATTTTAGAGAGTTTGCGCCCTTACTGTTGCCAAGCCGCAATCGGTCGGTTGCATTAATATGAAAAATGCACGAATTGTTTAAAATAACAGTCTTGCCATCTCTAAAATATATAATTTCGATATCTTCGTGAAAAACGAACACGCGTTATAACAAATTATGAATAATTTGTTTAAACAAAGGACAAAAAAAATGAAAATAATGTTCAGAGGAAGAGTTGGAAACAATTTGGGTCAAATATTTCGGGCCAGCTTAAACTATTTAATGTAATGTATATGATGGTACTTCAAATCAAAAATATAAAAAAGTAGGAAATAGTTTATGTAGCTTGAAACCAATTTCTTAATATTTACTCTAAGCGTGTGCAAAACAGATCGTATTTTCGAATGCAACCTGATACAGTTTTGCTACACCTCGTAAAATAATGTAATATTCAAATTTACAAATATGCGGCTACTTAAGCTCAGAAATTCAGTTTGACTTTGATAAGAAAAAATTTGTACTTTTTGCTATAATTTAGGAAAGCAACCCATCGGGGAAGTCGGTGCCAATAATCATTTTGTAATTTATACAAAGGAAGTAAGAAATTCGATTACACATGGTTAACGCTTGAAAGTTGCGTTAAGAAACGCAGATTCTTCTTCATTTTTATTTTAATATTCATCCCTTTTGTTTATATTACTAAGGGAAAAATAACCTCACAATGAATTTTTTTCCGGATAAATTTTAAAAATTTTGCCAATCGCAAAAGGTTTATTTTACTGGCCAAAGAAAGATGTATCCGGCATTAAACAAATCATCGGACTTCCAAGTTTTTTCCTTTTTTATCCCGAGAGGATTTTTACTTAAGAAACGTACGTAATCCGTAAGTATATATAAGTATGTGCACTCCTTGGGTTTTAAAAAATTATTGGTGAAAATTTATTAGAATTTTCGATAGTATACGCGGTTTATTTGATTTTTTTTGAGGTATATTTTGAGATCTTGGGCTAATTTGATGCATTGCTCTAAATTTTGTATACCAAACTTATAACGCCTTCATGCTTTCCCTTTAAAAGCTAAATATGGTAAACAGATCAGATTGGAATCACGATAGTTCGTTGTGTGACAGTTATTAGAAAAATTTATCGGGTTAAAGAAATTTTGATAAATCTTTTCCTTGTATCTATGACATTCAAAAAAACGCCATATACTACGTAAAAGTAGAAGTTTATAACAAGATTCGAAAAGATTGTTTTTGGTTGGGCGATCCTTGGCATTTTTCAACATTTAAAAGAAAAAAAAACAAGGGATATTTCCAAATTTTATTACAAGTGCACAAGCGAATATGCGCCGTATGCGATTGCATCGAAAGTTTTTGCCGAAAATTGTTTACGAAGGAGTTATGTTTCTGTTTTTTTCCATAATTTTTTTTCCATTAATTCCATAGGATAATTTCCATTGTGTTGGCAGCACTGCTAAAAAAAGCGACTTGAAAATGGAACAAGATCAATAGTAACGTAGTTTATTATTATTATAATATAATATTGTTTAGTTTAATAAATAAATATTATTTAGCTTATCTGATAAGTTTTTGTTCAAATCAAACAATTACAAACGACAATTAAGCGCACTTTACATTACTGCAGACTGTGCAGAGATGCAATGAGTAAAATATAAATAGAGATATTTTGTAAATGCACATATCTATGCACACAAATGAAGCATTTATATAAACTTTGTTTATTCTTTTCGACTCTCGCTTGTCAGTTTTACTACTCAAATAAATGAACGAAAATAACAGTCAATCTATAAAGAAAGAAATAGTAAACAGAGAAACATTGCTGCATCTCACATATGCAGTACGTGTATGGTACACATCATTTGCTCAGAGATCTAAAAACAAAAGTTTAACTACAAAATTATAAAATAAGTAAATAACCAATGAAAAAAAAGTCTGTCTACGACTATCCTTCCTCGCTCTCCAGTAAATCATTCCATTCTAAATAAACAACCAATTCATTGGCATGAACAAGAGATGCAAAAGAAATTCTAATAAGCACCAAACCACTAACAATAATGATAATGAAATTATAACGTAATGTGCAGCTAATTGAGTGCACTTTTTTAGAGTAGAGTTAAGCAAGCAAGCAAGCACAGCACAGCACATAACACCCTTAAGAGTTAAATATAATGCCGGTGGCCAGTTACTTATGCTCACGGTATGTGCCGTAGTTGTGTTGTACCGGTAATTTAAAAACAAACGTCTCAAAACTTTGTCGGAAATGTTTTCTGTATGTTCGGCGTCTCCCTGAAAATATAAATAAAACTGATTATAGAGCTCTTTAATACATAAATGCTCGGCTCCGGCTCTCCACTCTGACCTCTTTTTTTCTGTTTTCAAATTTTTTCTTTTTTAGTAGAGATTTTCTTCTCTATCTTAGCTTGCTGTGGCGTTGAATATACAAAAGAATTCTTTACATGAAAATTTATTTCTGAGTTTATATGAATATGCTTTTGTTAATAGAGTACGAATGAGAGTAGAGTTGTTGTTTTGGAGGGTAATGAGAGGTCAGTGTTGGAAAAAAAAAAAAACAAAACAACAAGAAGAAATGTTTAGATGCAAAAATATAGTTGAAAAAAATTTATTTGACTCTTCCTTTACGCGCGTGCACGTGTATGTGGAAGCATGCATTGCCGTCGTTTTTGTTATAATCTCTGTTTTTTAATTGCCACAATTTTGGTATATTCTTCAATAAGAGTTACAGTTAACATAGCTACTCTTAATAATTCTTATAACACAACATAGACGAAAGTGCCAGAGATTCATGTTCATTTGTTTAGTTAGTTAAAGTCAGACCATTGAGAAGGCATCCCATCATTTTTGAGTTTTGAGTTGGGATATCGTTGATATAAAAAGGCAAGAGTATTTTTTATTTTTTTTTTTTTCATTCAAGAGAGCCTATGAAAAAATATCTTGCTATTTACAATTACCTTGGGATGGTGATAATGAAAGATAACATTATGAGTTTGTGTGCGAATATTCATGCAGCAGGATTCTTCTACTATGATGATGTTTTGTGGCGTTTTATTTTTCAGTATAAATAGATTTGTTTCTAAAAGAGTCATTCTGGTCTGTCGCGCTCTGTTGTTCTTTAAATTCTTTTAATTGCGTTTTTCGAAAGAATTTATTTCTCTCTCTCTCTCTCTCTCTCTCTCTCTCTCTCTCTCTTTCTTGCTTTCTCTCTCTCTCTCTGTCTCTCGCATGGAAGAGTGGATGAGATAAGATAAGTCTATGGTTGTTGACTTGAAATTAATGAAAACAAGAGTAGCTAATAAGTCGCGTTTAAGCTTGCTTTTCCATCTGTTTCAAAAGAAAAAGAAGAAACAAATAATTAGTCTTATTAAGAAATAAAAGTAAAAAGTAAGATTATTGAAATATAAATATATGAATATGTTTGTGGTTGATTTTTTATTTTTTACTTCTTATTTTTACTTATTCAGAATACACCATGTAAGCATCCGGTGGTTATGTTGGCAGGCGTTAATGCCAATGATTTGGAAGCTTTACTGGAGTTTGTTTATCGCGGCGAGGTGAGTGTTGATCATGCTCAATTGCCGTCACTACTTCAGGCGGCCCAATGTTTGAATATCCAAGGTTTGGCTCCGCAAACAGTGACGAAGGATGATTACACCACCCATTCGATACAATTGCAGCATATGATACCGCAACACCATCATGTAAGTTTCAGGTTATCATTTTTTAGTGTTTCTGTGTACTATGCATTGGCCTTTTTTTTTTTAATAAAGGAACAAGACCAGCTAATTGCTACTATCGCTACTGCTCCTCAACAAACGGTTCACGCTCAAGTTGTCGACGATATTCATCAAACAGGACAAATTCTACAAACGACCACGCAAACCAATGCGGCCTCCGGACAACAGCAAACAATTGTTACCACAGATCCCACTAAAGATGTCATACAACAATATTTGCCGGCCCGCAAACGTAAACCACGGGTTAAGAAAATGTCGCGTAAGTCGTTTTTAAAACATCATATTGTTTTTATCAATTAATTGAGGAGATATATATATACATATATATATATATGTATATCTTCAGCTACCGCGCCGAAAGTTGCTAAAGTTGAAGGCATGGACACGATCATAAGTACACCGACTTCGTCACATACTCAGGGCGCTGGTACTATACAAACTACGCAACAGCAGCAGCAAAATATTGAAAATGGCAATGACGGACAAATGATTACTTCAACACCGATTATAAAAAGTGAGGTGACTAAAGTGGAAACTATTGTTATGGATCCTAATGCTCCTGGCGAAGTAAGCATGACCACGACTTCAACAACTGCACCGGCCAAAACAGGCAAAAGGGCTAAGAGTACACCAGGTGGTGAAAGTAAGTGAATAAACAATATAAAATATTTGCCAAAAATTTCTCTTACGACAGACGGACAAAAAGTTTATATTCGCCTTGAACTGAAGACATTAACATTCACTATTAGGTTATTTTGTATGATACTTGATAATAGATGATTTGAACGAATATCAATCACATGTCTTAAGATATGTCTTTATTCCATCATTCGTATTCGGACGTTGTGACCAGCGAATTTTTGTACACTGAGAATAGTGTGTTTTATTATCACAGTTTTAATGACTTTGGATAAACCAGAGAAAAAAAAAGATGACTTCTGACTACTACCTTGTTGGCGAATGGATTAAGATTACAAGATTGTAATAATTATTGTAGTAGCTTAACAGGTAGACACTGTACGCTAAATTCCCTCCACTACTCCAGCCTATAAAGAATGATAGAGTTTGTAATGAGCGTATTTTTATTTTTTAGTTTTAGAAAAAGTTAAATCGTATAATTTCCATATGCTGGGTAGTATTATTAAGAGCATTAAGGAGGCGATTTTGAGTGAAAGGAAAAACATAAAATTAATAAAATTTTAAATAAGCTAAATAAAATTAATTAAGATTTTACTTTTCAGAACCCCGCTCACGTTCTCAATCCGAGCAACCAGCTACTTGCCCTATTTGCTATGCAGTCATACGTCAATCGCGTAACTTAAGACGTCATTTGGAGTTGAGACATTTTGCTAAACCGGGCGTTAAAAAAGAAAAGAAAAGTAAGTCTGGCCAACAAGTTGACAACACATTAAATTCCACCAATAGCACTATGCTTGCATCTTCGACTATTGCAAGTGACACTGGTACTGTGCTCGATACCACAGACAATGGCAATATCACTGCCAACTCAGTAGGTAACGATAGCGTTGTAGGTATGATAACAACAGGCAGTGGTAATGGGCCCACATTAACTAACAGTGCCACAGTACCGGCACCATTAATAATGGGAAATGTTAGTATGGAGGGCAGTGATAATAGCATAAATCAATTGCCAGTCCTGAAACAGGAACCGAATTCCGGTTGCATAACCACCACCACCTCCTCCAATCCTATCCCACAAACTATAACTAGAGTCGCCAACTTAACGACGGCGACTAATAACGGACAACTGCAAAATGTTATACACATAGTAAGCGAAGATGTTTTCACTCAGCAGCCACAACAACAACAGCAGCTACAATCACATCAATAACAATGATAAACATAAGCGCATGCATACACACACTTAACCGTTCTTTCTATAGGTTTGAGTTGCAAATTTAAGAAGCATTCCATCCTTTAAACAAAAAAAAAAAAAAGAAATACCGAACAACCTCATATTCGTTTCTCGTTTGATATTTCATTGAATGCGTTTTTTTTCCGTTTCCTTGTAAATAGTCAATAGTCTTAATTAAAATTTAAATAATTAAAATTAGCAATTTCATAATAGTTGCGCTTTTGTCGCGTATTCCGTTACGTGACGGATTTTGTTGCGATTTGCTGGTTGGAAAGATTGTTTCCATTGAACTTTACTTTATAAGCTTACATGTTTTTATATATTTTAAAATTTACCATTGATTGAAATTTATACACATTGCCTTTATTTTTTGTATATTTTTTTTTTCCTTTTAGAAATAAGTTATATTTTTTTTTAAAATAAAGTGGACATAATGAACATAAAACCAAACTTTTTTTATGAGTATAATTTATTATGTTTTTAAATTTATAGTTTTGCAATGTTTTCATAAAATGTTTTCTTTTTTATGTAGTTAGAAATTTTCAGTTTTTTATTTAAAAAAAAAATTGTAAATATGTAAATGGAACGATTAAAGATATCTATCTACAAGTTCATCGTAAATGTTTGGTTTTTTGTTTGTTATTCACACGTAGCAAGAACTTTTTTAGAAATTTTTACACTTAACAAATTTATTTACTTTTTAAATGTTCGCTTTGTATCTTCTTAACGCATGTATATACAATTTGTTGTTTGTAAATGTTTCTCTTCAAAGATTTTAGAGCTTCCTTTAATTTGAACACAAGTTTCATATAATTTCCCTCTTTTTCAGTTCTCTTTGTAAATACCTCTTCCTCTTTCATAAATTTCTTTTTTTAAATGTCGTTGTGGCTGTTTCATCTGTCGGAAGTACACGATGAATTTTTAATCTAATATTATCGACAACGAAAATAGGAATTTATTAAAATTCGTTTTCAATGCGCTTTTTCTATTATTTCTATGGCTTTTAACCGGTACGAAGTATTTCTAGAAAGATGACGAACGTTTCGAACCATATTTGCCAAGATATGTACTACGCTTCACATTTTCGCATCTTCCGAGTAATGCCCGAAAGAGGATTTAAAAAACACTCACAATATTTGGTCAATAGTTCTAATCAAGTTTTTCTATAGCCCTTTAAAGTTTCAGTGTTTATTTATTGTTCGACGCAAACTTTCCGAAATAACTAAATTGAGTCGCCAATGTTGAGGTTATCCGCTTAAAGTGCAGAGCACCTTATGCAATGAAATCCACACTGCAGAATTTTTCGAAGCCATTTCCTAGCTTACATTTTTCCTTCCTCTACCATTCTTCTCTCACTTTTGCTAAGTTTGTGATGTGTAAAGCAAAAAAAAAGAAAAAGGCCTCGGCATGTCTCCTTGTCTTCGATATGCAAACTCTAATGAAATTTTCATCAATCGGAACGAAGACTACTTTTTTAGGATGTCAGCATATATATATTTTGACTTTTTCCTCAGTATTATATACATATATAATCTCGGTAATTTTATTTTGTCAATGAGCTCAATATTCGTTTCATGCAATATGTTTATATTTAATATGATCGATGAAAGCATAACACATACAGACTGGATATACCTCTACGCCCACGCCACGACCGCATTTCACAGTTCTTTTCCCCATCCTGATCCCTTGAGTTGTTGGCAGTGAGACAAAGAAAAGACGAAAACAGGAAAAACAACGTAAAACATAAACGCAAGCACTTCTGATCGGTTCACATCAATTAGACATGTCGAAAGATATTTTTATATGAAATAGGTGCATTTCGACATAGCATAATGTGTGAAAATGAAGATCGCGTCCCCCTAAATTGTGAAGAAAATAATGTTCCCCCACATATTATTTGTTTTAATATTATTTTCATATACTGGACTATAAGTCTCCTCCTCCTCCTCCTCCTCCAGTAGAAAGTTGTCATTTTTCACTATACAGACCCTCGAGCGATAAAATAAGGCTTCTTGAAGACTATGAAACTATTTGATAGAAATTTCTAGTTATATAAATAATTAAGAGTCATCGAAGATTATCACATCTCTTCACTGATCAACCATGTAGGTGATATTTTTAAATGAATTGTTCGATATTCAAAATAAGTATGAAATGACATCTATTATTCAAAGTTGACTTTAAATGTAACTTAAACGATCGGTTTTCGGGTCTGGAATTTTGTTTCCTTTACTCCATCAATTATATGTGTTTTTGTCAACGACCGACAAACGGCATTAGAAGATTTGATTATTTAGGGCTTTTAAGCTGATTTAGTCATTCGTCAAAGTCATATCAGTCATTTCAGTCAGGCAACTTTACTTCATTTCCTAATTTACGCCTAAAACTAACGTAATTTGTTCAATTTGTCGACGATTGGTCGAATCGATATTAGTCATTTGGAAGGTAGTTTTTGCTTAGAACAAAATATAGAAGATATGATAGGAATCGTTAGATCGATCAGAAATTTTCCTTAAGAAATTACCAGTGCCATTGGTTATAGGTTTTAGGTAAATACTTTTCGATTTTTTTTTTTTGAGTTTTTAGGTGGAGAATATATATATATGTATTGAAGATGGAGCCGAATGTTATTGCAGCTGTTCCCGTTCACCTGTAAAGAAATCATCTTCGTCTCTCTTAATCTTCAATACGTATACTTCTATATTATATCGGTAAATTTAATGTCTATATATATATGGTTTTTATATGCGAACCTCGTGGTCTACCATTGCACGTCATGAGCCGAAGGAGACCATAGATAGAGTAGGGTATAGAATTGGCCCAGGGCTTATGATCTCCCTTTTTAGTAAATAAGTTTCGTCCGTCCGCTTATTCCTATAAGTTTGTAGCATGTGTATTTCTTTTAGACATAACCGTGAGACAAAAATTTAAAACCTCACCATATCTCCCGAACTAGCTAGCTGAGCAGTGACACGTGCATCCGTCTTTACAACCTTTCTAACCTCTTCAAGCGGCACTTTGAAGTAGCCCTAAAAACAATAAAGTCCATAGGCGATATTTTGACAGCGCCAAATTTTACATAAAAGCGGGCATGTCGTCTATGCGTGTGGACACGGTGGTGATCAGGAAGAATTATAGCTAGAGAGGCGTGAAAAAAGAGAGTACTTTTTGATGACTGCGTTAAGAGGGCTAATATCATTAGTTGCCCTCGTTATATAACTTAATATAAGTTAGACGATTAGTATTTTATGGTGAGAGTTGCTTCTCTAACTCTGTACAAGGCTTTCTCCCCTTAAAGCAACTTTTTTACATACCAAGCGGAAGAAGGACCACATAAAAAAACCTATTCTAATTTCGGGTTTCTTTTGCCAAAATTTATAATATTAAAAAAAAATGTTGTTATTTATAAATATGCTTATTATTATTATAATTATAATCAATTAAGACAAAGGCATAAGTTCTAAGACTAAAATCTTAAAGCACTAGCATTTAAAGGCTATCGGCTTTACTGAAATGCCTAACGCATTTAAGGTTTGACCCCACGGCCATTGAGTTCTTAGCCGAGATCCTTTGCCCACTCGGCCACTAAGGTGAAAAAGAATGTACTTAGTTTTATTTGAAAATTAATAATTTTTTTTCTGATTTTATAGGGCAGTCTAAAGTTGTACAGTCAAATGAAATTCATATTCGCTTTAAGACGAATCTCTGACTTTGATAAAATCAAGCCACTACATATATAAAAATTGCAAAATGCTTTATTAGTTGTAGACATGTAACTCAACCGATTAGAATCGTTTCTCTATTTGTACATCTATAATTGCAAAAAAATAAAGCAGAACGCCTTTTCTTAAAACTAGTTGTAATATCCGACTACTGATTGGATATGTTTTGTAAAATTAGTCTATATAAAAATGAAGTTTTTCAATTGATTGTTACGTAAAACGTTTTTCTTGTGATTTTATGTTTTTATTAAATTCCTTTCGGGCTTAAGTTCGTTTTATGATTGAAATGTGATTTTTAGGATAGCATAGGTTTTACTTACAATTCTTAGGTGATCTATCTAGTCATTATTTACAGGAACGTATACTTACAAGGATGCTTCTGGCCTTGTCCGTCTAAATATTACGATTGAACTCTTTTAACTCGACTGATTTTGTCTTCCGCAAATATTCTGCTGCATGAGATGAGAGGTTAAGCTACATACTAGTGTCTTTGCTTATCGAAAAAGTTGACTAGTCTTGACGCAAATTTAAATCATCAAATGTGGGATTTTCGCAACAATACAATTAAGTGAACGACAACTGATTTTAAAATTTGATCACTATAGTGTATTCATGCCGTATTGTATCACGAATGCGTTATGGTGTCAGAAGGCTTTGATTAACATATCTGCTAAATTTTAGATTAATATTTGTTATAGATTGAACAGGATAGGTTTTGGCTTGATTGGTGAACATGTTTCGGGACTGATTATGTATGTATGTATTTGCCTTTAACATTAACAGGTTCTTTTAAACAAGGCCACGAAGATGTCGTAATGTGCATTGTTAAAATGTTACACAAATTGAATGTTAATTGAAAAATTATTGTTATTTTTTTAAAATAATTTTCATATTGATCATATTTTACTAGCATATTTATGATTATTGCTTTCTGCTTCTCTTAGCGCCTGGAAAGAAAACTGCTACCGCTGCACCACCGGGTACTAGTAATGTTTCTGGCACATCAACTATAACGACAACAACAGTTAGTTCTATGCCGCAAGTGCAATCGGTGCAGTCGTTGCATACTCTGCAAACCGTGCAAGTTAAAAAAGATCCTGATGCGCAGCAACAGCAACAGCAGCAGCAGCAGCAACCGCAAACCATAACCGTTACAACAACTAATAATGGACAACAGCAGCAGCAGCAGCAGCAGCAGCAGCAACAACAACAACAGCAGGCACAACAGCAACAACAACAGCAAGTACAGCAAGTACAAGTTCAGCAGCAGGCACAACAGCAACTACAACAACATCATATTATCGATCAATCGGGTAATATAACGACAACTACAACTACCACTACGGCAGCAGCACAACAGCAACAACAACAGCAGGCCCAGCAACCACAGCAAACGCAACAGATTGTCACGCAAACGGAAAATACCGACGGTACGACTTCGCTGTCAATCGCTCAAGTGCAAACCTTACAAGGACATCAAATATTGGGCAATATCAACCAGGTGAATATGACTGAATATCAAACGCATACGCAAACAACGATGTGATTGATGTGCAAAATTAATAGAAACAAAAGAAAAAAAACGAAAAAAAAAACAAAAAAAAAAAAAAACAAAAAAAAACAAGAAAAACAAAAAAAAAAAAAAAAACGAAAAAACACTAAAAACAAAATTTTATACAAACACAACACAACACAAACTTAAAATAGTAAACAATGATAATAACATAAGAAGAGAGAATAATTTAATAATATTATGCTCATACATGCGTAACTTCGTGTCCCTCCTCCTCACAAAAAATTGAACATCTGGACACATTTGAAGGGAATGAATTGAAACCTTGCTTTCGAGTAAAAATTTCCCTTTCTGATCCTCTGCAATAATCTCTGGCCATTTTAGAGAGGGTGTCTCATTATGCGATCATATTTCGTACTAGACATTTAGTAAAGAATGTTCAGTGTATTCAAGTACTTAATAATTATTTTAAATTAATTTTTATTCGAAAATTGTTCAAATTTTTATATCAAACAACATTTTACGGACATTTACTTCTTGTATTTCTGCTTTTGTGTGTTTTTTTTTCAAACGAAATTGAAATTCCAAAAAAAAAAAGGAAAAAAAAATAATATTTTTTTTTCGTTTATTCTTGTACAATTACATCACAGTTTATTTTAGCAAGTAATGTAGTTGCTATTGCTTTTGCTTTTGCTTCTGCTTCTGCTTGGAGTTACACGTACACGTGGAGAGGGGGAAGATAGTGCGAGCGAGAGGGAGATGGAAGAAATGAAGATCAAGTATCGGAAAGTGAATTTCGCATATATGCGATGCGCAATCGGGATGTTAACGCTAGAAAATCTTAGGAGTAAAGCAAACGTTTCAAAATTCTGCAAGAATTTGACGAAGAGTTGAAAAGGAGCGTTATGCTCTAAAGCTATCTAAGCGCCACAATAAATACTCGCCTCTCCTTCTGTCCGCTCTTCCCCCTTTTCATTATAACACCTTATATATATGATTATTTGATGCTATTTCCAAATAGTTGTTGTTGTTGTTTTCCTTGTATATTAACTTAACCCATATAACTCTTGGCGGCATGGCTGAATTAATATTTCCCTCATGAAGAACACATAACTACGAAGAAACATGAACTATTTTTCATTTTAACAAATATTTTTTTTGTTAGACAATTAAAATTAATATATATATATATATGTATTTATATTTACCTTGTATATATGATGTATAAGCTCGGAGTACATTTTCATTATAATGTATTAAAATATTTTCAATTGCCGTTGATACTGTCGCTGCCTGTGTCTCTTCATTGCCTTGATCGTTTATGATTAAGGTTTGATCACGATTGTGTTACATTAACACCCTACCCATCGTGAATACATATTTGTGCTTCTCGTTGAACTTCACGTAATGCTCGTGTGCTTACATTTGTGTGTCCCGATAGACGCTAAACTTTAATGCCATCTTGACAAAGCTTCCCCTCAAAACTTACTCGTTGGAGGAGGAAATGATTCCATGGCGTGGACGATCGAAACTCACGAGTTACATAATCACATGAAACTAGTCAAATATGGAGTTGCAAAGGGCAGTAACTTGCACTGGCGCCATATCTCAATATTTATGCTGACAACTTTTTTACAATCACGTAGATTTAGCAAAATGTCTATACGGTGTAAAAACTAGAATTTGTGGTGCCGTGAACCTATCACCTGCTACATCTCTACAAACAAATGAAACTGAATGTAGGGGTAATGTGTTAATAGAAGAAGCTTAACCTATAATTTTCACTTGATACTTCCATGTCAAGTTAAGTTCAAAAATTAGGTGAATCGGTTCATATATCACATTTATCAACGTATCGAAAATCTTTTTCAATAAAATATCTAAATTAAATTTCGGAAATTGGCTTAGTCAGTCGGCTCAAGATTTCGGGTTCGGTTATCTAAACGCGTAACGGGTAGTAAATAAAATTTTTAGTTTGAGATGAAGTGCTACGGAATTGTCCGAACAAATTTAGAATTTTATGCATCTTCCAATCGCAAATGTCGCAAAGAAGGTGCATTCATTTGTGTCGATGCGTGTGTACGCACTACATATCGTCATCCGATTCTGCACAGCAAAAGAGACTCCTTTGATCCTGCCTGACTTCCCGTTTAGGGTCACGGGCACTCCCTTACTGGGTGATATAAAACAAAAAAAAATTTGCAGCAATTTTCATTTAAACGCCGAATATTATTGCTTTTTTTTAGATTAACGTACATTTTCTTGTTTAGTAAATATTGCTATTTTTAATCACAAGATATGCCTGCCGCTAAGGGGTGTAGTTTATTTCTTTTTTTTTTTTTTTTCTTGTTTTTTATTTAGTAACAATTGCTTTTTTTTTGCATTGGTTTTATCACTGCTTCCGTTATTTGCTATAACGATTCTATCTCCTTTCGCCGGATAATAAGGGCTGGTGTTCTGTCTTTTTCTTTTTCTATATTTTCTTTTTTTTTGTTGTTTCTTTTCATTTTTTCTTTTTTTTTTCTATCAGAATAATTAGTTAAATTATTATTATATGCTTAAGATCGTTCAAGAATTTAGATTTAACCTTTCCAATTAAACAAACATTTTTTAAATTTACTTCATATTTGAGAAAAAAACAAAAAAAAAAGGATCACGATTTTTTATTATGATTTTCTTTAATATTACACATAGCTTTCAAATCTTAACTTAAGTTTCTTATTATAATCTATTGTTGGTTCTATTTTTAGTCTGTGAAGGCTATTGTACTTTTGTTGGTCAAGTTTATATTGTAATATACTTGTGTATAAATATATGTGTATAAATAGATACATATATATATATATATATATTTAAATGTTAACTACTGTCACACAAAACGTTATTTAGATTGCAAGCAAATTGCGTTTTTTTTTTTTTTTTTGTTTTTTTTGTTTTATTTATAGGTTTCGTTTATAGGTTTCGTAATTACGATTGTCTTGTCACATGTAAAGAAGATGTAGAAAATTAGATGAAATTAATTGTATTCGCTTTAGATTAAATCTTTTAGCAAACCAGCGTAACGTGTGAACGTCTCTAAAATTTTGCGAAATTGTTTGTCCGTTTGGTCGAAACTGTTCGTTCATTAGGCAATTTAATTCGATCATATATATATATGAAATATATTTTTCACTAGCAATAGGAAGTGAAGAGTTTTTTCGTATTACGAACTTGGTTAAAGATGGATCATAAGTGCATTTCAAATTTGATCTGCGATCATCAACTAAGAGTACTTGCATTGCGATCATGGGTGGCCCAAAAAGAGACAACAAACGGAAAGATCCCTTTGAAATCTTATATTACAATGATGGAGAATTTATATAGTTTAATGAAATCTCTGGTGGATATTCCGGAATATTAATAGCGGGAAGGACAAGTTCTATACTATCTTGTTTTGCTATGACCAGTCAGTTAGGGCATGTTTCCAATACGTGTAATATGGTGAAGGTTAGAAATAAGAAAGAAAAGATCGAGGATACGGAGAGATACGAAGGGACCGAAGGTTAGTGAGTGGACATTGCTTCTATGAGTACTACGCTTTTACCAGCACTAAGCACTCACTTATAGATACTGCCAAATATGCTCCAGTGCACTGAGATTTGAATCCGTAACTCTTGACTTTTGGTAGTCACGATTCTTAATCATTCCGCTTCTCGGTATAAAAAAAAAGATTGAAACACTTTCTTGAAGTTTTATATGTTTTGACAAATGTAAACGGTTTGGCCTACTAGTCTAGATTAGATGTGATTACATGAATGAATAATTCTGGCGTTGCAAGGATTTTTTACGTTTTTCAACATTTAACATAGGATATGTTTCCGAGCTTTGTGGAAATATTTTAGTGCACTTATGGTCGCACTGATGCTTGGAAATTGAAATTTGTATAAATCGTAATTGGTTGAATTTTCATTCAAAGATATCTGAGCTGTTTCCTTTAGATCAAATTGCTGGACAATTGTAACAAAGTTTTTGTAAAATATTTTTCAATAAATAATTTACTGAATTGAAAAAAAAAGAAGAAAAGGCTTAGCAAAGTTATTAATTAAAATATGAAGCAGTCCTTAAATTTTAATAAATATTTATTTAATAAAGTTTATTTAATATAATTTTATTTATTTAATATGAATTGATTTACTTTAACGATTAAAGGTGAATTTTTCTATAGATGAGTATTTTAAGAGATTTTTTTTTTTTTTTTTTTTTAATGTCTATTTATATTTTTATCGTAAAAACTTATGTAAATTAGGTATATATATGTATGTGTAGTTAGTTTTGCGTTAAACACCTTTTTCTTTGTTGTTTCTCAATATTTTGTACATTTTTCTTACTCTCTTTCTTTTTTAAGTATAATTTAATTTTTGATGTAATTTAGATGAACATTTTAAATAAAAATTATTAAAAACAAAACTACAACTACTAACATTTTTTCTTTACTTAACTTTTTCTTTTTTTTTTCTCTCTCACTTTTATAGCCTCTTATATAAATTGATTTCTTTCTCTTACTTTGATCTCCTTTTTATCTCTTCTTTTGGGTTTCCTGGTTTGGTATTCGTTTCCTTTTTCTTTCTCGCATGTTTGCTCCATTATATGGTGTGGTTGTTATTGTTGTTGCATGATAGTCGCTTTTTTTGTAATTTTTTATGGTATGAAGAATTTCTCCTATCTTAGCTATTGTTTTATAGTTACATTCTTGTATATATTTATGTAAAAATATTTGCTTATTATTATTAAATTTTTTAATTTGCATCTCTAAATACGAAATTCTTTTTTCTTTTTTTTTTTTACTTCTCCGTTATATACTCCCTTTTATGCATTGAAATGATAGGAAATATTTATCAAACAAGCGCAAGAGAGAACCTATCATAGGCTTGATGATAAGTTTCTTTGAAATCTATAAAATGGGTAATGAATTGTGATAATTATATCATAAATATCGCTCTCTCGACTCTATTGCACTTCGGATTTGAACCCGCCCAAATCTTGCCTAACTAGGCCGCTACCCAGGCCGATCATGCGGTATGCGCATACAATATTTGTATTCGTTCTTTGTAGATAGTTGTAAAAATTGAAGACCATGAATAGCTGCCCAAAAAAAAGTGATTGGCAGTTTTCGCCGATTATCGGCCGATCTATCGATCGATTTAGCTCATTTTTCGAGCTTTGCCGTTAGTCTGATATAGATAGACAAGTGCTTAAATCGATTCAGAATTTGATAATGATTAGGAATATATTCTCTTAATGGGGTCTCTGAAGTGTCCGTCTATGTTTTGCAAACATTTTAACAAAACGAATACACTCCCACTCCTAAATGGTGGGTACAAAAACATTCAGCAATGGATCCTGCAACGGGCTCCTTAAAAGATTTTTACTGTAGATCGTTGTAGATCGATACTTGTCAACTGGGATTGAGCCAAACCTGATTCATTTTTGTCTGAATATCGTTGTTTGTTTATACAAATTTAAAATTAAAAAAAATTTTTTTAAATAATAGCTGATCTATATGTATGTTTTAAGATTTGCCTAAATTTTTCATTTTGAAATTTGTGTTTCATCGATATTTTCGAGGCAATAATGAAAGATTTACTTTACCTAGATCTTGTAGACGGCTTTTTGGTTTTGCTGCAGGATCTGTAAGTGTCGTTTCTCAAGTCCTTTTTTGCATATATGTTAAACGAATTTTGATTGTGTAAGCTAGATTGTGTAGGGTGTAGAAATACTTTTGCAAAAAAAAAAAAATTCGTAGCAGTTTAAAAATGTTACGATATCCGACTTCTTACGCCCTTTCAGTAGTTACACAAACCGTGCGTGTAAGCTAAAAGCAAAATGAAAAAAGTCAATAAATATCCAAAGCTTTCATCAATGGTTTAACTTGCGGTTTGAGGGCATTTTGACATTTGAAACCATGTCGAGGTTTTAAGACATTTTAATATTTGATGTCTTTTATATGTGCAGCTCCATTGCCTAGTTTTGACCTCAATTTAAAGCTTGAAGTGATCTTGACGTTTGAAATCGCCTTTAGATTTTACATCTCCTTGACATTGAAATTCACAAAGAGGTTCGTTTGCAGTTACATTGAGGTTTTAAGTCGCTTTACGTTTTGAAGTTGAGCTTGAGGCTTGAAGTCACTTTCTTCGCATTAAAAAAACTTGCACGTATCTTCAGGCATCAAATGTCCACAAATTTTTTTCTAAATTTCATTTACAGAAAGCCATAAAATGAAAGATTTCTTACAACATCTATTATATATAATATATTGCGAACTGTTTTTGAGAATTTTTATTAAAAAAAAAAAATAATTTTTATTAAACATAAAGCGGGAAAAATAGATATTTAATAACTTGGAAAATATATGCCTGAGACATAAAAATGACTAATGATGAAATATATGCGTAACATACATATATCACAATTTATGCACATGGCCATCACCATAACACATCACATCAATCACATCACAATAACATGGCACTTTCGCTGATAATTGATCGTAACTAATCAAATAATTGTTTTTTTTTTTCTTAATTATTATTATTTTTTTCTTTCTCTCTCTCTTTCTCTTTTTCTTTCTTTTTCACATGCTCACGCTCACTTGTAACTGTAAATGTTTTCAATAACAAAATCCATCACCACGTGTTGTCATCATATCAACAAACTAACCTAAAAAAATAATCCAACAACAACAATTAAAATGTTTTTGCCTGTACAACAACAAAAATATTTAAAAAAAAAAACAACAACAATGACAACAATAAACATGAAATATGTTTGTATAGGGCAACAATAAGAATATTTTGGTTAAGAAGGTTTTCATTTTAAAAGGCAGTAATAATACGTAATGATGATCCAACGATATGATCTGCGGCTCGGAGGGTGGTGGTGGAGGTGGTGTCGGAGTCGAGGTCACATCAGCAACCGCAACAACAGCAACAACCATAGGCACCACAACAGGTACACAGTTAACGGCCGATACAGTAATGACAAGTCATGAACCCGAAGTTTTGACAGTTAATACCAGCGATTTGACAGAGGTTGTAAGCGGTACTCATACAACTAGTGGCAGCCGCACCAGAGCGGCACCTTTAGCTCGTACAACCCGTCGCTTGTTAAGAGGTCATACAGCTCAAACTACAACCGGTGAGAGAGTTTTGCTCATTAATTATATATCACCGAATTCGGCGACAAGCGCTTCTACGGTTACAACGTTGAATACGACAGCGACGGCCACTAGTTCTGGTAATCAACAGCAACCGCATCCACAATCGTCTACGGGTCGACGAATTATAACACGAACAACTGGTAATGCAAGATCGAAGCCTACACCTGTTAGCCTAGCTGGACTCGGCTCTGAGGTCACTGTGACACTAAAAAGATCATCGAATAAATCAGCAAATACCGCAGGTCATATTATACGTCAGCAACAACAACAACAGCAGCAACAACAGCAACAGCAACAACAACAACAGCAGCAACAGCAGCAACAAAATCAACAACAACAACATGCCCATCATAGTACTAGTTTAGCAGATATAACCACCACCCCTGCTACACATACAAATATAATGGCGGCGACGACATCCTCCCATCAACAACAGCCTCCAGGTACTACGACAACCTTAGTCTTTGCAAACGCTGCTGGGGACTTGCAGCATCAAGACATAACAGAAGTCATCGAAATCGATGAACAGCATCAACATCAACAACAGCATACAACGCAACACCATCATTCACACCATCAGCAGCAAGAACATCAAGTTGTTATTCATCATGATCACTATCAAACACAACAACAACAGCAGACTGGTGGCACACCTCACCTGATGAGCATACAAACACAAACGGCAGCAAGTGGTGAAGAAATTGATTCCGACCTTTTAGAGTACAATAACAATGGTACAGTTGGTCATATCGTTGAGACAGCTATGGTGGCCGGTGAAGTGGAAGATGTTGAGGAAATCGTTGAAACCCATCATATTATACAGCAACAGCAGCAACATCATCATCATCAACAGCATCATGGCCAGCAGCAGCATACAATTGAAATACCAGCACAAGTAGAAACGGAATGTATGGTAGTTGATGAAGTGGGCGAGGGTGAAGTCGAGGAAGTCTATTTACAATGAAAAACTTTCAAAGATAACAAAAAAATATTCAATATATGTTTTTGAAAATTTTTGAAATTTTCTCAACTCTCGGTACAGCAGTAGTAAACACATTTTTCAGAAAATCTGAACTTATCTTTCAATAGGTGCTGAGCACTTAATTTACCGCGCGCGGTAGGTTTAAGTTATATACATATATATATATATATATATATATAAATATATATATTTTATATATATATATTTTATATATATATATTTTATATATATATATATTTTATATATATATATATTTTATATATATATATATTTTATATATATATATATTTTATATATATAGCAGTTATATATTCATTTTGAATACTTCCTAGTTGTAAGTCAAATTCCCCTGATATAACTCGTGTTTCGCTGTCAATTGTGGAAAATACATTTTTACCTTTTTTTTCATTTTTTTTTTTCCAGTTCATACTTGAAAAAGGCATATTTTGAGATTATATTCCAAATTCTTTACCGAAAATTTTTCATTCGTTATATACAGCTTTTCTTCTTACACAATATAATATGAAATGATATCTTAACTAACGTGTTTAATTATTATTATTATTATTATTATCATACAAAAGTTAATTAATTAATTATATAATTAAAAGAGACATCAAATTAGAAATTTTTTGTTAAATCAATTTATTTAATTATTACTATTATTATTATTTTATTATAATTATATTATATTTTATTGTATTACGATTACAATTTTATTGCTATTACTATTATTATTATAATTATAGTTATAATTATAATTGTTATTATTTTATTACTATTATTAATCTTATTATTATTTTTACTTATACTTTATGAGAGTTAATTATGATTAATTAATAAACATAATTAATTGTCTAATTTTTCAAAAGAAATTCCAAACGTTAGTGTATGTTATTATATTATGTTTTGACTTAAAATTTGCAAGTGTGCTAAAGTTTTCTTCTTATTCTTCTACTTCCTCGTTTTTTTTTTTTTTGATATAGAAATGAATTTGTAAACGGTAAACAAAGGGGAGAAAGGATTTTAATAATAAGTCATAGGGGAAACTTTAAAATATTTTTGATTTTTCAACTCTCCCATCATCTTTGTTCTTTTTCAGACACCTCTCTACCGAACACATTCAGAGCTACTTCTGCTTGTGGTTAAATATAATTAAAACTTTGGTTTTTAATTTTTCATTTCTAAAAAGAGCAAACAGTTTTCAAATTTTTTTTGATAATTTTCCTCAGCGTTTCCTTAATATTTATAAAGAAAGAAATGTTATGTTTATCTTCGAGTTCACCTTTTTGAATACATATCTTATCTATATTATACTATGTTTTGAAAATCAGTCCCCTTTGGGAGACTAAGGACTTGATACTAAATTTATGTTACTTTTGGGACATCATTTGGAATATCATTACAAAGTCGTAGGGCACTTACTAACATCTGTTTTGGGTTTAGGTTAGAGTTGGACCAAGCCTCTTGTAAAGAGAATGTATGGTGAATAAAATTTTTTTTGTAATTTCTTTTATCACTGTGTCCAAAAAGTAAGACCAACTTAATTTTTTCTTCTTCTAAAATCTGTTCTGCACTATCACGCAAACGACGCAGAACACTCAAATAGAATTGTTTTGTAAGTTGTGTGTGTGTGTGTGTTTGACCCGGCGGAAGGATTTCATAGCACACAGCACCCACAATAATTGAGGAAAACTGTAAAGATCACCCCGAGCTTTGGGCGACTTTGGCTCATTTTTTGAATGATATTCGCTCGATTGGTCGGTTTTTTTTGGGTTATATGCATAGGTCCAAGTCTGCTCCCATTTTATTTCGCAAACAAAGTTTAATGCAACGTCTTTGCTTAGCAAAATCACGCATTGTAGAAATAGGAAAAAATACTTTTTATGCCCAAGCATTAGCTTAACCACTAATAACCTCTATGCTATGAAATGTTTCTCATATTCGGATAATATTGCTGCGCAATTTAAATTAAATATTGGTCTTACTTTTTAGTCACAAGGTTGAAACGTTTAAAACAGTTAACGTGTAATAAGGATTTCCTTCATAGAGTCTGCAAAGGAATTGAATCAATTTATTTTGTATTGCTTGCATCAAGGCAGTAATTCCCGATGAACTGTGAAATGTAGAGCAAATCTGTTAAGAAGAAGTCCTATTGTGGTCTGGTTTGAAGAGATAAAGCGGAGTTAAAGGAAACACCAAATGGTAAATATTAGCCTGAAACTCTATATACTTGTCATTTAAAAAATTTCATTTCGGCCGGTTTTGATGGGAAAAAAAATATCCAAGCATTGAATGTCCATATGACGAAATTTGTATCAAAATATATGTCTTTATATATACATATATGTATAGTTAGTTTTCAGGCCTTATTTATACATCATATGTAAAATTAACCACCCGTTTACGGTGTTCCTTGCTTTATAAATTTCTTCAATTTTTTTTTACTATTTTTATCAAACAAATTTTTTGTTAAAAACTTATATGCATTGAAGATATTGATTACGTGATTGATTTATAGAAGAAATTCATTCAATGCAATCAATCATACGATCCATATCTCTTTACTTAATGCTTCTTGTTAATTTTTTTAAAGTTTCAAAAATGAAAAAAAAAAATTGGTGTATTTGTAAATTATATATTATATGATAAGCATATTATATATTATGAATATATTGTAGTTTAAGTTCACATGTATGTAAATATAAAAGTAATTTTATATAATCTTTAAATATAATGCACTTTTATAGTCATACAATATTTGTACATATACAAAGATATACATACAAAAAAACAGAAAAAAAAGAATTATTATTAATTATTATTCATATTGATTTTTTGTCTTCTATTCTTTTATCTGTAGGGTGTCTTAAAATGATATCTGAACATTTTTAACCAGAATACACGCAAGCAGCCAAGACCAACTCAGGTTTTATTTGTTACGTGGCTTTTCTGTTTTCTTTTTCGTATTATTTTCCAATTAAGCAAAGATATCATCAATTGTCAAATAATAAAAAAAAAAATATAAATAAAAAAAATATATATATTAAAACGTCATTTCATTGTAGGACACCCTTTATATAAGAATGATGAAAAAATAATGAATAATAATGTATATAATAATTATGTAAATTTAAAAAAGGAAAGCAAAGCAAAAAAAAAAAAAAGAAAAAATGAAAATATTTTAGTATAAAATCAAAAAGCGAAATCTCTTTTGCGAATATATTGTAATAATTTTAAAAAATTTTAAATTGAAACTAATTATTATTTTCATTTCCTTTTCAATGTTCATCTAAGAAATTTTTGTTTAATTATAATTTGTAGAAAATTTATTAAAATATGAAAAATTGTTTATATTTTATTAAACGTGAAATTGATGGAGAAACAGAAACAGTATTTACGAACAAAACAAGTAATGAGATCATAGCCTGTTGACGATATGCGAAGCGAAATTTCCTCGCTTCATATCATTTTCGAAGGTCTTATGCTATTTAAAGGAAATTTTTCACAACAATTTTGTAACAGTAAAGTATTTTGTTTATTCGTTCCACTTACATATTAAACAAACTTTTTTAACAAGTGGCCGATTTCGCAATATAACAAAAAAACTCCATTAGATCATCAGTGTCCGCTTTATTAAGGAACAAGTAAAAGTTTGAAACATTTTTAAATTCCATTAAGTCAATTACAGTAAGTAAGCAAATTACATTCGGCTCTAACCGAATTATTCATATCCACCACTTTTATTTTAAAACCAAAAAAGAAAAAAGTCAACTTACTTTTGATAAATTTTTAGCTTCGTTTACTTTAGAATCATTCTCACTGTGGATATATGGGGGAATTTTTGTTCTTATATTTCTTGTAGTTGAAAAAAAAAAAAAAAAACAAAGAAGTGCACAGTAGACGTATACTTTAGCCGGTATCCTTTTATATGCTTTTCAATGCCCAGCCGTGTGGAAGAATATCAACTATTTTTGCTGATTTTGAAACTGATTACCTTAAGGCCTAACCCCGCAGTGACAGAGTTTTTTGTAAGCATTTTTTTAGTAGGTGTACAAATAAATTCCTTCCATCAAAATATACATCATCATTATCTATGTCCTTTTTGGTCATTTATCGATTAGCACGGATGCCTTCAATCCCATCACCAAGCCTTCGAGGTAGCAACTTGCCATCGATCCATTTTCGCACATCTTCAACTTTGAGCATGAGCTATTTTGTTAAATATGACTGTATACGTGATAATCGGACGGGATCAAGTCGGGAGAATATAGCGCGGCATGATAAAACTTCCCTGAGACTAAGTTGAAAATTATTTCCTTGGACGTATGCGAAGTTCCATCGTTCTCATGACTACAATTTTTTGCCCCAAAATCTCGCAAACCACTTTCTACCTGTTTTACACTTGACCACTCCTATTCATATTTTAATTTTCAGAATTTCGCGGCAAAAATCGCTAAGAAATAGTATTTAGGAATTGTAAATTGGTTGGGGAAATTTTTTTACCCCCCGTGCCTTATAAAGGTTTCTACGGAAAGTGTGTCTTGTTACGGTAAAAACGCCTAATTTCCTTAATGAGAATAATTTAACATAAACAATAATCTTTTGGAATTTGAACCATGTAGCTCCACTTTTTGGATCTGATCTCATAAGAAGTTCTTAATGAAACGTAAACCTTTACATGGCGAATATGTCCAATTTTTAATACTTTATGATGAAAATTGCTTCCATAGGAGTGATTTGATATAAAATTTTGATCAAATGGGTCCTTTGGTTAGACGCAACCATATAATGGGGCCTACATGAGCGCCAAAGCTTCATCTGTAGTTGTTTATGATGGAGGCAAGTGGAAATTACTAAAATCTTTGAGAAGTATATTGAGTTTGCTAAATTAAGACCATGTTAGTTAACCTTTTAAGCATCCTCCGAAATGAGGGCTTCACATAAATACATAATCTATAATTTGTAACATATTATCGCGAGAATGAATAAATGTTTGTGTTAAGCGAAATGATGCATGGCGTCCAATAGTCGGTTTCGTCGGGCTATACTGTTCTTCTTCTTCTACTTTATTAATATACGCTGAACGACAGTTTATAAATACTCGGAAACTTATTCCATATAGGTCTAATTCAATATATAAAATTTCGG